ACCCCGCACAACATGATCTACTCGACCACCATTATGGTTACCGCCAAAAAAAGAACAGAGGTAAAAAAAAACGGTAACCTGGTTGCGGAGTTCACGAAGTGACTTGGTTTGTTTTACAACGTCGTTGCCAAGCGACGAAATGCCAATCCCGATGGCAAACACCGAGGGGGGGGGGGGTACTCATAGTCGTGCATGCTNGCTTACTTGCTTGCGTGCGGATGACAGCTGCGTATGACTTAATTTATTTTCTGGTGCTTTCACTTCCAGAGACAGTTGTAAGCACTGGGTAACTGCCTTGAGGGTGCTTGACCATTTTAACACAACGTGGTTCGATCATCCCCCTTGCGCGGAGCGAGGGTTATCCACCCCGCACAACATGATCTACTCGACCACCATTATGGTTACCGCCAAAATAAAAACCGGAGGTAAAAAAACGGTTACCTGGTTGCCGAGTTCACGAAGTGAATTGGCTTGTTTTACAACGTCTTTGCCAAGCGACGAAAACCCAACCCCGATGGCAAACACCGGGGTGGGAGGGGAAGCTGCGGTGTCCGATGTACAAGAATCTGTAAGAAGTCCACCAAACGAAAATTATTTCCCTGATCCCCTTCGATACACACGTGGTGACACATCGACGAACCCTAGCAGAACCTAAACCCGTCTTGGCTCAAACGCGAGGGAAGCTCAAACGAGAGGGAAGGCCAACACGACCGACGACGCCAAGTGCTCCATCGTCAACGCGAGAATTTTACTCGAAAGCTCCAGCTAACACTCGCTGCCTCTTAACCGCGTCAACTCGATAGACGCGGTGTCCTCCGGATCCAAATAAGAAAATCTCCCGTAAACACAACATCACCTTTTCACCTCATCCCACCCCCTCAACCCCTCCCACACGAAAGATTTCATCCAACGGAAGGGGCGTAGACGGTCGAAAGACGACCAGCCTTTGCATAGTAGACAATGTTCGCTTGAGATTCGCAAGCCACGCGGACGTTCCCCGCGAATCAACCGCCTACCTCCTGGACCCGAACCTCATGATATTCCCCCCCTGAATCCCGCACCCTGGATTCGCGCACCGGTCAATCCTCAGGTACATGTCCGAAACCAAGGGAAGGGAAGTGGACGGGCGCGTCCGTCGCCGTAACCAGTCCATCCTCATCACCGGGGAGTCGGGCGCGGGAAAGACAGAGGCCTCCAAGCACGTCATGAGGTTTCTCATCACCGCAAGCCGGGCGTTGGCGGGCACGGCGCCCGCCCCTCCCCGCGCCCAGGGCTACGCCGTGGCCGGAGCTCCCGTAGCCGGCACTCCCAAGGCGTACGGCGTAGCAGGCAATCCGACGGGCGGCCGGAGCACTCCAGGCCGGAGCGCTCCAGGTAAGGCTTGTTGCGGGACGGGGGAGGGATGGTTTTCTTGCACGACCCTTTGGCGCGGGATGCGATGGTGGTTGCTTGCCGTCGCTCGTAAGAGCGACGGCTTATCGTGCTGATGGCGAGAACGACGTGGCCAGGGCTAGCCGCGTTTTTGGGATTCATGAGAACTTGAGAACGATCGCAGTCGTGGGGTTGTCGCTTTTGTGCTTCCGGGCTTTCCGCCCCACACAAGAAACGCAAGCTTCCAGTGCACTGTGCAGGGGGAGAAGGCGTAAGCCTCATCACTGGAAATATGCTCGCACGATATGCCGTGTTTCACGACCAAGGGAACCACCACAAGCTTCTGTCACCACCCATCCAAGCCCTTCCGCCTCTCAACTGCTTTTCCCTTAACACAGGCACGCGATCCCGCTCCTGTTGGTGTTTGACATACTCTTGTCCTCGTTGTCTCGGCGTCGAAGGGTTCTGGAGGTCTCCCGCTGTGGTTACTACGGCAGCCGGAGCGGCGAAGCACATGGAGGACGTGCTGCTCAGGAGCAACACCGTGCTAGAGGCCTTCGGCAACGCTAAGACCGTGAGGAACGACAACTCCAGCCGATTCGGTGCGGGGAAAGCAAGCTTGCCAAGTCGCTGTGCCTGTTCGTCGTCCACCAAGATCATACCATACCTTGCATCGAGGACTGCAGCTGGTGTTGTACTGCACACCAGCTCTTTCTCTTTCTTCGAGTCCAGCACGCGGCAGAGCTGCCAAACTCAAAGCCTAGGGTACTAGGTAGACTCGAGCGATGGCACCTTCCGGGGCACTCTAAATTTTCATCGCCGTACGTTGCGTAACCAGCACCCCGCAACAATCGTGCTGAACAGGCAAGTACATTAAGCTGCAGTACGACCAGGACTTTCGTCTGGTGGGGGCGAGGACCGAGCACTTCCTGCTGGAAAAGTCCAGGCTCGTGCACCTCGAAGAGAGCGAGCGAAGCTACCACATCCTCTACCAGGTATCTACGTAGATCTAAGCCCCCCCATCATATATCTCGGCGCTTCGCGTCTGGTCATGTGCTAGCCTCGTCCGGTGAAAACCCGGTGTGCTCTGTCACGGCTTTCGTAGGGATGCGACGCCAATGGTCGAACCACGAAGGCATGCACGGCAAAGCGTACACTCCTAACCCCTCATGAAGAAGGTGGGCGATCGAAAACCTTTCCCGGCTGGAAACGCCGTCCTGTTGCTGACGAGGTGGAAACCTCTACACCAGCGAGAGACAGAGAAGAGAGCAAGCAGGGGAGATCATGCAGGGCAGGGGGGCCAAAGTCTGTTCCGAAATTGTGTGTCAAAGCGTGCCGTGGGATAGGGGGTCGTACCTGTAGCACTAGCACTCGAGACGTCGGGGCCCGCATCACGTTCACATCTTGCAAACCTCAGCTGAGAAGACGTGAGAGATGCGTGGGAACCTCTGCCCCTTCCTCCCTCCTGCACGCCCTCTGTAATTATCGCAGGTGGCAAAGGCCTTGCCGACGGCGGACAAAGAAGCCTTTCATCTCCAAGGCGGTGCGGAGTGCTTTTCCCTCCTGACCCAGGGGAACCGTCTCGTGGCCTCGGTGAGGGGTTGCAAGAACTGCGTGTGTAGCAGTGGAAGCCGTAAACCAGCAGCAGGCACGGGCCAGATCTACGTACGATCGTGTGGCAGTGACAGGCGTAGAACCACCGGGCCTAAATCAGCGAACCATTCGTCAGGTTCACATGCAGAACGATTGGGGTCGTGGATGGTTTGCGTGGGCCATCTAGTGTGAAGCCTTTTCTATGCGGGCGTTGCCTGCAGAATATGTCCCGAAGCCATGCCACTGCCACCCCCTCGCCACGCACACCACATTCTACGCCGAGTTTTACCATCTCAGACAAGAATTGCGCCCAATCATGACCAATAACATATGAAATACTTGAGTGGAACACTGCTGCGCTGGGGATTTGTAGCGGCAACCCATCGGCAGTGCGGAGTGCACCGGCCGAAAAGGAGCAACCGTGCTTCACCTGTATTCCCGGACAAATTGACGGTGCAACAGAGCAAGATTGTTGTGTCTTGCTCTATAAATCTACGACGTGTGGACAACTTACATAGTCATTTGCAGAATCTCTGTAATAGCTTGCGATTGCGAGCATAACTCTGTGCGTAACAACTGTCGTGCATGTTCGTCGAAAATTCTACCTGTTTGAGCGATTATTTTGTGTGATCCGTCGTTTTTTCTTGCGGTCGTTAGGACGATGTGGATGACCACGAGGAGTTCCATGCCGTGGACAAGGCGTTATCCTCGCTCGACTTTACCTCGAACGACAAGACAGATATGTGGCGGCTGCTCGCGGCTATCTTGCACAGCGGCGAAGTCAGGTGCTGGTGTCACGCGCTTTGACCATGAACCAACCGTCGAAACGAAGGTGGCTGCCGGCCGCGTTGTCGTGAACCGCGCCTCAAATATCTCCCAATCGAACGTTTCTGCTGCAGCAGCAACCTTGAGCTTTCGGGTTGCCATCGACGTACAAGGCTGAGTCTATATCGTGCTACTGCCGTGGTCATCCAAGTCAGGCGTTGGTCGTGATTGGTGGCGACAAGGTTGGCGTCAAAATCACTGAGAGGACTAGACCACCTTTGGATCGAAATCAGCGTTCATCGATTATGAATCCGTGTTTCCGTCGAACAGTAGCGACGATATTCACGCGTGGTTGCCGCGATCTCACCGCATTCTCTGTATTCCGTTGAAGTTTCGAGGACGTATCCGGCAAGGAGCAGTGTCGTATCTCCAAGGTTGGGCGCTGTACGAGCATATCCCCGGCCGACCTGGGGGCCCTTTGGGGAGTGGACGAGGCGGTGTTCGAGGAAGGCGTGATGAGAAGGACGGTGACCGCCGGAGGAACCAGCGCATCGGTCGCGCTTAACGCTGCTCAGGTGCGTATCTCACTGGTCGCAAGTCTCTTTCGGAACGATGTTGATGTTCCTGTTGTCCACCCTACACGGGGAGAACATCGTTTCGGTATCTTATCGTCCATTAGTCTTTCTTGCAGTCAGGGTACCTAGATCCCGGGTCCGAAACCCAAACGAACCGAGGCCCCAAGACTGGCCAGAGTACGTCGTCGCTCTCCCTGGACAAGATGCGACTTCGGCTAAGAAGATGTGAAACCTCCCCCCCTCGCCAACACGATGTGTCGTGTCAATCCCCTAGGCGAAAGAGAATCTTCTTGCCTTGCTGAAGCATATGTACCGCCAGCTATTCGCTTGGATAAACTGGAAGATCAACGTGGTCTTCGACGTCCCGAAGAAAGCGGTGGGCGAAGCAGGGGCTGGGGCAGAGAGGACGTTCATCGGCATCCTCGATATTTTCGGTGAGGCTAGGAGGTACCGCTGCCGTCGCCATGTGTTGCTTCTGCCAAAACTGAATGTTGCAAGAGAGAAACTACTTAAGAGTACAGACTACTGCTGTCGACGGACAGCCCCAGGTAAGTGCCATGTCTACCACGCGAATAGATTTCGTGGGAGCAGGATGACCGTTGGAAGGGTTTCAATGACCACCCGATGCTAGGAGTTCAGAACGGCTCTTTTCGATACTTCGTGGCTTCTGAAGCCGACGCTGAATACGCTCGTGCGCTTTTCCTGTACAACAGGTTTCGAGATCATGGCGACGAACAGCTTCGAGCAGCTGTGCATCAACTTCGCCAACGAGGTCTTGCAGCGGCAGTTCAACCACCACATCTTCGTGCTGGAGCAGGCAAGAAGACACGGTCAGATTGTGCACAGCTTGTCGCCGGGTTACCACGTGATGATTTAAAGCAGGAGTCATCCTCGCGTATGCATCAGGAACAATGGCAGAGGATCTACATCAAGAAGTATTCATAACAAGACACAGATTTTGCAGAGAGTCGCCTGAATAGTCTTGAAAGTCGCCAGGGTTCTTGTTCGTGCCATTGAATTGTATCTTACCCTTCTGTCGCCATTAACCCCATTGCTGTGTGTACGTTCACGACTGTTTCCAGGAAGAATACGGCGAGGAGGGTCTGGATGTGGCGTCAATCCCTTTCCGCGACAACCAGAAAATCATCGACCTCATCGCCAAGAGGCCGGCGGGTCTCATGCCGATCCTCGAAGACCAGGCAAGATGCTCCTTGTGTGTGGCTGAGATCGATTCAGTGCGCCAGTGTTTGTAGTTGTCCAAGAATTTCTCGTAGCGGAAGGTTCTGTCATACCCTGATGTAGGTGCAGCCACCCGTTCAACGGTTCAGATATATCTGTGTCTCCGTGTTTGGTGCTCCTTGGCTGCCGTCGATGTACCTATCTCATGCGGCCTGCCAAATACCGGCGATAACAACAGCAGTTCTTATCTGGTGCGGATGCACGCTCCTAGCCGTGCACTTGACTCTGCTTTTACATACATGTAATGCTTGGACGACTACCAACGGCATTAGACATCAGTCCACTCGCGATACCATCACTGCCCTCTGCCACCAACAGGCCTTGACGGGGAGAAAGGCGGCGTCGATTACATCCTCTTTCACCGACAAGAACCTGCTGGACCTCTTCCACCAGCAGCACCACAGAAAGGCCCCCCACCCGTGCTACAGAAAGCCTCGCTTCGACGGACCGGAGTTCGTGATCATGCACTACGCAGGAAACGTGAGAGCAGAGACGGTCGGGTGATTCTGGTGTAGGTCTGATCGTCATGGAGGTTGGTTTCGGCGAAGGAATAATTTCGCCTCAGTACGTGTCGTTCTTGTGACTTTGACGGGAGACAGAAGAGCGACCGCGCTCAAGAAACGTCGCCCGAACGTGCTCCGTTGGGATACGCACTTGTAGCAGGTTATTCTTGGGCATGGGTGATGTTGCATTGGAGCCATTTCGATTCTGCCTTGTCGTTTTTGTGGGAGAGAGTTAATAATTGCCACACGTATGGAACGATAACTGCGCGCGGAATAGGAGACATGAGCAACGTAGAAAAGCTAAAATTGTACGGGACCACCCAAGACAGATCCGCCCGAAGATAGTCTCGAGCTTAGGCACACCTACCTAGGCGAAACTCGGTTCTTCTTGCACGTTACAACCACGACTTGGATGTGTCCGCCATGTTCTTGTCCAGGTGACGTACTGCGCGACGGGTTTCCTCGAGAAGAACAACGACACCCTGCAGGAGGATCTGAGGGAACTGCTCCTTTCCAGCCGCATCCCCTTCCTCCGGCAGGTAGGTGCCCCTTTTGTCAGCGTTTTGCACATCCCCAGTATTACCGTCACCAGCCTACGTCACGTCCTCCGGCCACCCCTGGTAGGGCCAGAACCGAACGGATTATGTTCCCTGTGTTGGAGCCCCTAACCTTGTCTCGGCATAGCATAAGAACTGGCGCTGATTGTTCAAATGAGTACGAAGTAGTTGCCATATCTCGTCAAGCACGAGCAACCGTGTCGAACCTTGCGGAAAAAAATTCGTACAGACATGGTTATGGTGCTGGTAGTTCGCCTCAAAACTGTACTTGCAGCCGCGTCGCGGTATGTCTAATTGAGCAAAACAAATCATGTCTCGCCGCAAAGATAGTATTCCGTAGCAAGGGCGGAATGCTTCAGTCGAGCCCGTTCCGGTATCAAGCATCAGTTCGTACACAACCCCCCCACTTTCGTTCCCGTCTTCTTGCTGGTGCTCCAAAGCTTATCCTTGGCGAGAACGGCGACTTCGAGAAGGCTCAGGGCACCAACACCGCCGACGAAGACCACGCCAACGCCAACGAGCCGATCACGCCCAACGCCCCTGCCTACGGCGGCGTGTCCGCCGTCAACGGCCCCAACGGCAAGGCGAACACCGGCCAACGCTTCCACGGTCGCCAGACGCCTGGCGTTGGAGATCGCCCTGTCCCCTTCGCCAATTCCACGGCCATCTCAAAGAGGGCCATGTTCGCGTCCGGCGGCGGCGGCGGCGGCTCCGGAATCTGGCCTCCTGAAGACGGCGGCGGCGGGTGTGGCGGACGGAGGGGGGGCATGGGCAAGAAGGCGGCGTTTGCGAGGATTGCAGCCAAGTCCACTGTGTCGAACGCGTTCCGAAGGTGTGTGCAGTAGGTAGGGTAGGCACCATGTCCAACTTGTGGAGGCATAACCGCTGGTGTCGACACCAGCGAGTGGGGAGTTTACTTGGTTCTTCAAATAGTTCGTCGTGTCGTTTCATGTTGCCCAAGAATTTGTTTTTTCAGGTGCAATGTTGAGCGCCTGGAATCGCGATCGTCCAGCACCACACACCAAGCCTACCTACCGCGCCTTTTTTTTGCAAGCACCTCGATAGTTGACATTCAGGTGCGAATCAATTCTTCAGCAGTGAGTGAGGACGCTCTGGAAAATTACCGCCCCACGACTGTCTTGTCGTTCGGTCCAACATTGTTCCATGGCGTTCCTTCAACATTTATTGTCAGCCAACTGGACGACCTCGTCGCCCAGTTAAGGGAGACAGAACCGCACTACATCAAGTGCATCAAGCCCAACTCCAACAAAGCCCCGGGGGGTTGGACGAGCTCCCTCGTCATCGAGCAGCTCCGATACTCAGGAGTCCTTGAGGTGAGCCCCGCGCGTTAATCTGAACGCTGCGGCTCATTCGTGGAGCGATTAAAGCTCACCTCAGGATCGAGGTAATCATCTGACTGTGTGCATCGTTCTACTCCAAGTACCAACAGGTCACAGTTAGATTCGAGATTGGGTTTTGTTTTCTAAAGCGCGACAAGTTCGGGGAAGGGCGTAAAAAGACCAAACCTGGCGCGCCTTCCGGCCAGCAAACTGGTCGACCCCTGTCGGTAGAACACCTCCCACTACTTCCTTCTGTGTGCGGTTTAGCCCCATGAGGACTTGCCTTCTTGGGTCTCCCCTCCGGGTACGCCTACAAGAAGCAAACGAAAGAGTGGCAACAACTCCCCGGCCTCCTGCTCTCACAACGCCTCGACAGGTCGTCCGCATTCGTCGGGAGGCTTTCCCCATGAGGGTCACCTACAAGCAGTTCTACCGCCGCTTCGGAACCCTCCTGGTTTCGAAGGACATGCCAACCGCCGATGACGTCACTCTCTCGAAGGTAGGGCACGTGCCTGCCGAATTCTTGTGTTGGCCTTTCCTCTTTCTGCCGAAGTTTCCCACATTAGTCTGGGATCAAGTAGTGTCAAGCCGTTTCTTCTACCCCAGACGCACAACCGCGGGTCGGTTCGATGGACACGCAACACTCGTTGTATTCGGTGGCACGTACTTTCATCTACATGGCAACCGATGTCAAATCAAATACCAGTCCGCGAAATCAAACCCATTGGACCAGTCAGCGCTAACGCTGCTGCTAAAGCACAAACTCGTGGATTCGAGCCCGTCGTAGCAGCCGCATTTTGCGTGTAGGGGTAGAGGAAGTCGTTATCCTTATCTTGGCGTCTTCAAGCCGTTCGGTTGCCACCGACGACGCGCACGCAAACCGGAACGCTCAAGGGGGTTAACAAACACTTGTCCTCATTTTATCACCTGATGTACGGTGTGTCCGTGCTCGTGCCCGCTCTTCCAGGCCAGAGAAGTGGGTCTCGCCGTCTGTAAGGTAGTGTTCGGGGAGAAAGAGGCTGGCTCATCTTTCCAGATGGGCAAGACCAAAGTATTCCTCAGGTAATGTTTTGTTTGATGTGAAGACAACGACAACGACGACGACAACAACAACAACAACAACAACAACAACAACAACAACAGCAACATTGTGTAGTGCGTAACTTTGATGATGACCAACATTCTCCAAAAGAATTGACTCTTTCTATAGGCGAACTCCACCACATACCCTCACCGTCAGAGGCGACGAAAAGGAACGAAAATTCTCAACGCACGTGCGGAATCGATAGCTCAGCGAACTGAGAAAGCAACAGAAATGCGTCCCCACGCGTCCCCAAGCCCCACACGCCTGGTGTTCTTGTGCTCTTTTGCTACTTGAAACGGTGAACGCCGGCATCAAGATCGACTTTCTCAGAATGGTCACCGCAAGGCTGTCATAAGCAAGCCACATCGACAGTAGTCAACTTCAGCCATGACAACATCGAGTACCCCCCGGGCGCACGTGCTCTCCGCTCCACCGATCGTATCACTTGCTCAACAGGGACGACGGCCTTAAACGCTTGAGGGCGGCGCTGAGGCTGCACTACTTCACCATCGCCAGCAAGATCCAGGCCCTGTGGAGGGGTTCGTTGGCAAGAGCGAAGATTGCGAGGCAGCGGGAAGCGGCCAACAAGCTACAGAAGCTTGCCCGGGGCAACATGGCCAGGAGGAGGTACGTTCGTAGTCCCCCAGCTGTCGAGTGACATAGTGACGTCATCATATTGCAGGTGGTCGGTAGTCACAGGCTATCGTAATCGCCGCCGCCAAGCTGCCAAAGTAGAGTTAAGGGTACGGTTTTCGAATGGAAAGTGGTTGGGGGGTCTGTGCTGTTGCAAACCTGGAGGACGTCATGATCCAGGATTTTGTTTGCACCACATGCACAGAGGCCATCTATAGAGAAGGAACGCCCAGTTCAAAATAAGTGTTTACCAGTCTCGTCTAGTGGGCCTGTGTACGCAAGATAGTTGTACCGGAGGATTTGGCCTAGAAAGCAAGCTTTAGAGAGTGTCCAGGTCCAAAGCAACACACCTCGTTCACTCGTCACTCGTTGCTCGTGTCGACGAGGTGGCGCGCACACCGCTAGCCCCTACTTACCGCTGTAGGCGATGCCCGTTGCCCGTGGGCGGCGTGCTCGCCACCTGTTCACAGGGGGGCGTTGCAAGCTCATTGTGTGGCCCGTTGCTGCTGTTCCCGAGTATTTTTCTCCAAAGTGTCAGTTTCCCCACGTAAGTTGCTGTCATCCGTTTTCTCAGTGCGGTTATTGGTGTCGCTATTGCCATTAGTCGTGTGGCCGTTGACCGTGAGCCTGTCGTCATCGGTGTTTTCGCTGCTGCCGATGCTGCTGCTGCTGTTGCTGCTGAACGCGGACAGATACCGAGAAGCCCAGCGGGCGGCCAAGGCGATACAGGCATTGGCCAGGATGCAGCAGGCGAGAGCACTCGCCGCCCGGCAACAGGTGTCGGTGGTGAAGATGCAAGCAACGTGGCGAGGATGGAGACAGAGGGAAGGGCGAAAGAGGTGGGAGGACCTCAGCCGGTGGGAACAACTAAGGGAAGGGATAGTCGTTAATAGTCTCCCAAGCTCGAGTCTAGACGCAGACTAGTTGGGGGAACGGTGAAAGAGGTACAAACCGCAGTTGTGGGAACGGTCAAAAAGGTACGAAAGGGCGGTTTTCTATTTCGGGGTTGGCCGGGGAGCGTCCGTCGCGATGGCCATTTTGACTGTAGTATTCGAAGTGTCACGACACTGTACTGGAGGAGAGCTCTGAATAGATCGAGAGAGAGAGGAGAGAGGTACGACATGTATATGTTTGGTAGCGCTGGATATGGTTGAGGGGGCGCGAAGAGTACAAAGAAAGGTTCACAGACGACAACAGCTCGTGTGGTCCCCCCCTTCCCATCACTCAGACGGTGCTGCTCACCCCGCTGATTGCAGGGAAGCTAACGCCACTCGTCTGCAAGCTGTGGCCAGGGGCTTCGTCACGAGGAAGAGGCGGGAGAGGATGGAGGCGGCCGCCACCCTCCAGGTCATGGTCTCCGCGATGGTTAGGGGGGTTCAGGCGCGGGGCCGTTGCCAAAAATACCGCAAGGGCATCGTGGCGTTGCAGGTTGGCGTAAACGGAAGCGACGGGCGCCCCCTTGTCCTAGTCCTTGCCACTACCACACCGCGTAGAACCGAGGCTGAGAAACTTGTAGGATGGCTCGCGGCATACCTTCCTTCCTTTGGGCCTGAGGCGAACGTTTAGTTGGCGTTATTCTTTTACTTTTTGCCGCCCCCGGTCATGGTAGTAGCAAGGGTTTCTCCAAGATCTGGGGGGCGGGGTGGAAACGAAGAAATCGTACGGGAATACTGTGTTCATGTCTCGAAGATCCTTGGTGCGGATGGATCGTTTGGCTTTCGGTAGGACACAAAACGTTGTTGGTGTTGGTATTTGGTGTTGTCCCGCCTTCGTTTCGCAACGACCCTACTCGGGGGCTTGACACCGCCTGTCCCAACACAAACGCCTTTTCACCGACAACAACGACGTCAATCGCGGACGGACAAGCTTAGAGGCGGAACACATGTTCATTGCTGTCGTTGGCACGGAAAATCTACTCAGACGGGAGACAGTAGTAGACACGTCGGGCCTACCTCAAGCAGAAACTTGTCGCCCTGACGCGGGCGTATGCCGAGTCTCTGAAGCATAACGTCTCTGACGGCTTCTTGTGGTCGTGTGTCGCAGGCAGCATGCCGAGCCAAGGCCGCCCGGAAGGAGGTAGCCATCCTAAGAAAAAGAAAGAGAGTGAGAGAAGATACGGCCTCTACTCGCATCGCAGTAAGTGTTGCTTGTTGCGGTTGTTTCGTGGTTATTGCGCTTGATTGTGATCGCCGTCTTTGTTATTGACTGTGGTGGTGATGTTTTTGTTGTTGTTGTTGTTGTTGTTGTTGGTTACGTTTGTTGCCGCCTTTGATTGCTGTGGGTTGCTCATTGTTCTGCGTCTGGTGTTGAGTGGACCACTTTCCCGACCTTCTGCACAAGTCAAGCATCCCGTTCGTGACGTTGACCTGTCCATTGAAACGAGAGCGAAAGGCAGGGAGAGCGAACGAAAAACGAGAACCTCCCCTACTTGCGTAGATTGACGCACATTTACTGTCCGGGCTACAGACACGTCTGAGGAATTTTTCACGTGACCTCGATCCCGTGCCGTTAACCAACCTTTTTTTTCCCCTCTGCCCCCCCCGGTGTTTGCCATCGGGTTTGGGTTTTCGTCGCTTGGCAACGACGTTGTAAAACAAGCCAATTCACTTCGTGAGCTCGGCAACCAGGTTACCGTTTTACCTCCGTTCTTTTTTTGGCGGTAACCATACTGGTGGTCGAGTAGATCATGTTGTGCGGGGTGGAGAACCCTCACTCCGCGCAAGGGGGATGATCGCACCACGTTGTGTTAAAATGGTNTGCCCTCCCCGGTGTTGGCCATCGGGATTGGGTTTTCGTCACTTGGCAACGACGTTGTAAAACAAGCC